GATCTATCGTGTATTTGTCCTAGTTCCACAAAAAGGGCTTTTTGTGCGATATGGATATGGTTTTAGTGACTGATAAGTGAATTAATCTCAGTACATCTATTCACAAGCAAGCCAGTGATACTGACCCCTGCCAGGTACCTGACTAATTGCGAGTTCCTAAGGTGGGGAAAAATATGATTCTAGCTATCAGCACATCCACATTCCAAGCTTTTCGCATCTCAAATGATTGAGTTAACGGTTAAGGCCATCTAAATATCAAGTTCATACACTTACGATTTAGCGGCAATGACATCAGTGAATAATTCGAGAACATCTTGAAGATAAGACTTTTTTGTTTGCATGGTTTATAATGTTGTCAAAACTTTTGTTCAGAATCGTTCAATTTGAAAAAAAGACGAAATGAACTTACAGCTCACTACAACAACAATTGGCAAAATGTTGAACAAGGTTTTGTAGAGCAGGAGAATCCTGTCAAAATATGTGCTTTAAGTGGCTAAAACTCGAGAGATCGCGAGAAAGAAGGAAGCAAAAAAAAACTACGGAAATTGATGTAACAATAGTTTGAGCTTAAACTTCAGTCATTGGGCGGTTACGGTAAGCAGTTATTCTATTTATTTATAATAGTGCTTCTCATCTCTTTCTTTGTATAAAAGCTTTATTGCAATTTTATGTGCATTCTCATTTATGGGAAGGGTATCAGCGTCAGTGATCGTCGCTGCTCTCGACTGTTTTTTCTTTCAACTTGAAGGAGTTGGAGATCACTATTGTTGAGCAGTACATTGTGCTGATTCGGTGAACTCAGCCTAAAAGCGTTTTATTTAAAATAAGACAGAGTTTTATTGAGCCTAATATATTTTTCTTTGAGGGGAAGAACTTATCATATAAAAGGGGAAAGCGCAAAGTCTTACCTACGCCTATTGGTATAGTCATAACTACATCGTTGCGGTCTCGCTCGTAAAATACTTCTACTGCGACAATGTAGGGTTGGTGAGGAATTGCCTGAGCTGATAGGACATGCTACAATATTTATAGGTTTTGCTAGTATTTGTAATAGGCTTTACACCAATAAATAAGGAACTTACCTATGACGGGAGAAAGAGTGGGCTCCAAAAAGTGTGAAGCTGATCGACTACGTCCGGATCGCAATGATGCCATAGAGATGATACTACTGGAAAGATAAGGAATACATTTTTAAAGTTGAAATTCTGCAGACTTTATGGACAAACTTCGTAATGCTGAGTCGCATCGGAGTTTTCTGAGATGCGCATCCTTCATAGCCTCGTTTCATCGACTCAACGATTGTGTTCATCAACTGCCGCCATGCGTCTATCAATTCTTCCTCTTCGCTCTTGTCGCCATGTACCCGCACACGAAGAATTCGTCGTATTCTGAGGTATAAATGCTTAAGGAAAACATCAGTTGTACGCTACTGATTTAATTCTGCATCAGAATCGTTAAAACCAGATGCTATTTTTAAATTTGCAAACACTCCTTCATTTTTCTGTGCGACCTGGTAACAAAATATCATACAAAATAAATAAATCAAATACTGCTTGAAGATATTATTCGCTATCCAGCTGCTCTATTCAAGAATTTAGTATTTTTTGGGTTACCCATCACATAATTTCAATCTATTTTTCTTCTTCCGTACGATTAGCACATAGTGCGCTTTTGCACATAAAGCGCTGAACAGAATGGGTAATTCTGGATACTAACATAAGACAGCAATCTCCCTTCTATTTGCAGTTTCGTATAAAAAAAGAATTTTCTCCAGAGGTCTTGTCTCTCAATGCTGGTCGTTAGGCACCCGACGTCATCCGAAAAAGGAAGATTTGGCTGCTGAGAATGGGTTTTAAAGTTGACGTTAACCAATTCCGAAATTATCCATGGTAGATTTTGGCGGTGAATTGCCGATTCATGTCACTCTAGGCATTCTTGCTATACAATATAGTAACTTTCACAGATGGAGAAAGAAATGACAAAACATTGATCAAAGAAGCTACATGGAAAAATGGAAAAAAAA